GTGTTTCCATTACATTTGAGGGGCATCCCAAGAATGACAATGGCTATTGTGTAATGCAACCCAGAGCCTGTCACCCTGGGCAGCCACACCTGGAGCAGGGCTCTCCTCTGGCACCGGACTGACTCATGCCTCGATTCTATGGTGCCTACTCCAAGCCACCTCTGATCCTGAGGACCCTGTCCCCAGGGCCCCTACTTATTGCCCAAAACATCACTGCTACATACCTGAACCTAATTATTCTGGTTGTCTTTACCAATTTAACTCACAGGAACAGATTTATCCTATGACTCAAACTGATGGTGCGTTTTAGACAGGGATTAGGGGTACACAGTCCAGGCGAGGTGAACAGTAAGCCGCTGTGTTGGGAAAGAACTGGTCATTAGCTGTAAAACGTCAGGAGTGAAAGAGACTTAAGAGCATCTAGTACAGCCATTCCATTTTTCAAAAAAAAAAAAAAAAAAAAAGATTATCAAAACGTTCATTAGAGTAACCCAGAAATTATGTTTTTGCAACATACCCAGAGCCCAGTTCTCCAGACCCCGGGCCCTCACTCTCTTCTGCAGCCTGGCCTTGTGGATTTCAGGGGTGACCAGCAGGGCTGCAGGTCTGAGCTGAGTGGGTTGGGATATTAGAGAGCTGTTTCCAGCAACAGAGAAGACACCATAAAGCTTCAGAAGGGCTACAGTAGTCCTGGAGGAACAAACTCCATTTTATGATAAGATGCATGGTCCATAACTTCAAGGTGAGTGAGACAGGTGACAGGAACAGGAAATCCAAATAAGTTTTGCAAGAATTCCAGATATTTGGAAACCAGTAACACAGAAATTGTCCAACAAGTCACTACAAGGTGATGAGTGGTTGTGAAACCGGCAGGAGGAAATGACATGACTTGGGTCCGTGGTGTGCACTTGAGACGTGGCTTCACATTACTGCCGATTTCAATGGAAATTTAGAGAGCAGGTACTGCTTCTCATGAGGGACTTGAAGCTCAAACTATGTACAGTTTGGCAAAATTCACATCCACAGCCCGGGAGCTGATGGAACTTGTGCAGATAAAGAAATGCACATTGGTTTCTCTTCGTTTTTCTTCCTTTTTTCTACATTTTTATGTTTTTTCTTCCTCCTGGAACTGTGACCTTCATAATTATTTTTAAAAAATAAAAGATTTCTTCTGGTTCAGACAGAAAGTGATGATTGAGGGAGTTCCATGAACTGTCTTCTGTCTGACTCAGAAGTCTCATGGTGGGCCTAGGGAAACTATTTTCCTCACCTAGTCTTTGCCAGCTCTCAACTTAATTTTCTCCCCTCTCTCCCCTCTCTTCTGTCTGTTCTCTATAATGCTTTATATTCTACAGCCCTCCCCAAGCCTGCCACTCCCACGTCCCCAGAACTCAGTGGCCTGCCCCTGCTTTGGTCTTATCAGGCCCTCTGGCCCTTAACACATTTGCAGGGACGGCTGTCAGGGGGGCTGCAGCCTGGGCCGGCTGCCCTGTGTGTCCCGCACCATGACCCTCATCACACCCACGACCGCTAGATCTGACTTCTAGCACCATGAAGGCAGGAACCCTCTCTGACCTGTTCAGGGCTGTAGACTCGGAGCCCAGCCTGCCACCTATCAAATAGTAGGACTTAATCTCATGTCTTCTGAGGTGCTGAATGGTTTATACCTTCACCAGATGACGCTGTGGGTTGGAGGGGAACATTCTGAACCTCACTGTGGATCCAGATCACTTCTGATCCTTCCCACTCCGCTCTGCTCTGTCCACATCTAAAGCAGTGGAACTATAAACCCCGGCTCTGTTCTCCTTACACCTGCGATACTTTGGAAAAGTGGGTGCTGTACCTTCCAGAAAACTGGGAGCAATCTGACAGTTGGATCATTTCCCCCAAATCTGATTGAGAGGTTCCCCAGTTGGAGTCTGTCCATTTCCTGTGTAAATTTCATGACAGCAGTAGCGGCTTAAGAACAGAAAACCCCACGCTACTTTTCGAGTGAAAAAATTATAAGAAATATGATAGGATTCTCCAGAGAAATGGGACATAAAATATAATCATCAACAACACTAGTCTTTATTTTTATAATATATAAGTTGCAGTTTTATTTTCCTACAACTTCTTTTTAAAAGCATGTTTCCCATTAAGATGAACAAAACTCAAAGTCTATGAGCATTTTGTTATAAATATGCTAAATATGGCTTATCATGCAATTTCTACTCTGCTTAGATATATTGCTTAAAAGCAAAAAACCTAATGGAAAACTCTTAGAGCTATAGTTCCTATCAGAGTTTTTATTTAGTTAATCTCTCTGATCACACCCTAGCAATGTTCCTATCACTAAAACAATGAAACACATAATAAATAAAATGTATTCATGTCATATATATTTGTCAGGGTAGATTTTCCTCTGAGACAAAAATCTCCAAAATGTCTGTGACATCATACAATAGAATTTTATTTTTCATATATATATATACCCTATTCCATGGTGGGTTGGCAGGAACTCAAACTCCATCCCCTCCATCCCTCATAACCTTCAGGACCACTCCTTCCTCTACCAAGCACGCAGAGGAAGAAAGTGGGGGAGAAAGCAAGCTTGCTCTTAAACCCCTAGATATAGAGGTGACAATCAGTATTTCCAATGACATTCCTTTAGCTAGATGTCAGTCACATGGTCCCACCAACTCCACATGGCTGTGTGCTCCACAGTAGGAGAACAGGCCCTTGGTAAGCCCTCATATCTTTTCACAGTCCAGCTTTGGAGTTGCCAAGTATTTATTTGCTTTCTTCCTTCTATACATAGTCCTTGATCCCAAATAGCCCTTATTCTGTTCCGTTAATTCCATTATTTATTATTATTATTGTTATCCAAAGAAACAGGGCTTGTACAGTCACCTTCCGTTCCTGGTGTCCCAACACATGGAAGCCAAACACTTAGACCTTGAGTTGTCTCTCATGGGGAAAGAGGTGAGTGTGTCTATGTATAGGCCTGGATTAGTGGCTTCACTTTCATTTTATCTTGAGCAGAGTGGACTCCGGTATAAAGGGTCAAGGAATTCCAGGTCCCATGTCCCTGTGTTGCCCCAGGAAGGGGTCCCCATGGGAGGCAGCATCTTCAGGGTCCACTGGCACATAAGACAGAACAAATGGATAGGTAAAAGGACCAGGTTTCTCTGGGGCTGCTGAACCTGATTTGTTTCTCCAGTCTTTCACTGATGGGTGTCCCCATCACTGACGGGGTCCTCAAGCCCTGTCTTCTCTTGACCCTGGGGTCTCTCTTGGGGTGAAGGATTTTTAGGGCCAAAAGAATCATTTGAGCCTTGCCTTTCCCCTCTCAGACCTGGGTACACTTAGGAAGGGACATACAGAATTATTGCTTTTTCCTATCTGGGGAAGTTGATGCCACCATGCCCTTGGCCTCCCGGGAGAACCAGGAACGACTGTTTATCTCCACTTCCACTTGCAATACTAAGCAGTGCAACAAGCCTGGTGTGTGCTGAGGATTAGGGCCTCTGGGAAACAGGGCTGATGCTGGATCCAGCAGCCCTAGAACTTTTCCTCCTCTCACCTTTCAGTCCACACCACCCTCTCTGTAAACATTCCAGTTGGGTGTAAAGGACCCTCAGTGGGGACAAGGCCCAGGTGACATCATTGTCAGATAACAAGTGCCAAAGAAATGTCAGGTGGGTGGTTTCATCACAAAAACTGAACCAACAAGTAGATGAGGGGACTGGGGTGAATCATGCTTGGCAGGCAAAGATTAAGACACAGCAGTTCAAAAAAAAAAGTCCCATTTCCTTGAGACAGGGTTCAGTCACTATAAAAAGCCAGTTGACTGGGGACACCACACCAGCTCGAGTGACTACACAGCCTGCCTTTGCTGTGCACCAGGAGACTCTCCTTCCTCCGAACTTCTACCATTCGCTCAAGGTATTTTCTTTTTATTGGAACTCTTTGGTATTCTTGCTATCTTTCCCCCGACTATTGAAGTTCAGTTATTAGAGTTACAGCCTCTAGGGATAGCTTTGTTGTGAAAGTGATCATAGCCTGCGCTTGAAGGGTCCTGAGATGTTATCAATATTGCTCATCCGTTCTTGCTGTGCCAGCGAGAAGAGGGTTGGCTCGTGTGGGACCCTCAGTTAGCAGGATAGGTCCTGCTAACTTATAGTTAGTAGAGCTTGTGGTGACATTATAACTCTTTCTTTATTCATGACCTTAATACAAAGAATTTCATTCTTTTGGCAGACTGTTTTGTGAGAATTTATTGTCGGTACTTTGCTAAAAAAAAAAAAAAAAAATCTAAACAACAGGGATTTTATTACCTGAAACTACAATTTATACAGGAAAATAAGACATAGAAAGGAAAGCTAAAATACAATGTAGAAAGTGACCTGCATAAAGCAATAAGGACAAGCAGAGTGCTGTGCAGTTTGGGGACAGAGGTGATTTCTAGAAGGCTTGCTCTAGAAGGTAACGTATGAGGCCATCTGTGACCCATGTGGTTGGGTAGCGCTTGAACGAGCAGATTGAAGGAAACATGTGAGGCAGAGTAGGGTGTGAGCAAGGCTGGAGGGGGGATCATGTGGGGTTCTAGAGAAGTCAATAATTATCTTATAGGTGACAAACCATTCTATTATCAGAAATGTGTGGGTGGGCTGAAGTTACTGAGGTTTTTTCCCCAAATAATATCATGACATTTCCATGTGATCCAATATTGTGCTCTCACATTTCTGCCAGGAGCCTGCAGCTGTGTTGTGTTGCTAATTGGGTTTTTTAATGTGCCAGGAAGAAAGAGAGCACTGGGAGGGGCTCTGAGTGGAGCAGAACAAATTACCTCTCCATTCCCCCTGTTCAAAGGCTCAGAACTCATCAAGCTGTCCTTAGTGGTAAAGAGAGAAAAAGGAAAATATTTGCTTCTTAGGAGACCTGAACTAGCATTGAACGTGTCTTCCTCCCTAGCTTATCCTATCTGTTCTGTCTCTAGGTCCAACTTCCTTTGAACCATGAGTTCCCAGCAGCAGAAGCAGCCCTGTGCCCCACCCCCCCAGCTTCAGCAGCAGCAGGTGAAACAGCCCTGCCAGCCTCCACCCCAGGAACCATGTGTCCCTCAAACCAAGGAGCCATGCCACACCAAGGTGCCAGAGCCCTGCCACACCAAGGTTCCTGAGCCCTGCCACACCAAGGTTCCTGAGCCCTGCCACCCTGTGGTTCCTGAGCCATGTCTCCCCAAGGTGCCAGAGCCATGCCAACCCACGGTGCCGGAGCCATGTCCTTCAACCATCATTCCTGCACCAGTTCAGCAGACCAAGCAGAAGTAACGGGGTCCATGCCCTTGAGGAACCAACCACCAAGTGCTGACTCCCTCCCCCATTCTGCTTGAGTTCCACTGGCCTTGCAACTAGCACGCCGTCACCCTGAGTTACAACCCCCCTCATTCGCACCCTGAAAATATGTGCGATGAAGCCTGCCTTCCCAAACTCTCTGAGCCTCTGAGCTTCTGAATGAGGCCGAGGGTCTCGATACCTTAGAACCTTAGTTTTCAGCTGCTCAGGATTCATCTGAAGAGGGACTTGAAGTACAAACATGTGGATCAGCTCTATTCTGCCCCCCATTAAATTCACTTTCAATTCCACTGCTGACTCTGTGTCGTAGTCTGTCTGACTCAACGCCTTCATTGCTTTCCCTTGTGAAATGGGACCTGTTCGAGACAGGTTGGTGGGGAAGGACCTCATTCAGGGTCTTCAGGTCCTGGTGCCGGGTGGGTGGGGGTTTTCACCCACTGACTTTTCCGGGGCTGGCAATGGGAGGTTGTGTAATGCCACCCAGAGGCTGTTCCTTGGGCATCCAAGGCTGGAGCAGGGCTACCCTCCTGCCACTCAGTGAGTCACGCTGGTGTCGAGCTGGTGCGTCAGCACTGCCTCCGCCTCTCACCCCGAGTGCCCCGCTCCTACCCCTGGTTCTCAGGTTGCTGGCCTATCCAGCCAATTTCTGTGTTTCAAGGGATGTTGTTCCTACATGTGTGAATCCGCTCCTCAGCATTCATTTCTTTCTGATACCCGTGACTCGGTTTCTCAAACACACACAAGGACTCGCAACCTCCACACTTATCTCAAACAGCCCCCTCGCATTCACTGCGTGCCCACTCCGCCAGGAAGGGAATGAGGCTCCACAGGGCTTGCCTTAGGGCATTTACGGCTGTCTAGAGGGATGTACCTCACCCCCCACCTGGCCCCTCATACAAACACATATACGCACCCATGCATGCCAGACTGGGCGTTTCCCAGGGTAGCACACAAAAGCTGATCTCCTGCATCCCCAGGTTGCAGACTTTATTCACACACAGTGTGGCAGGAACACAGGAAGTGAGGACTAGAACGCCCACCACCCCATCTTCTTAGAATATAAAAATGTGTACAGTGAAATGAATCATGATAGAATGGTCAACTGTGCATTTATATATATGTATACATTCATATTCATATTTATATCAAAAGTATGTTTCTTTTTTTTTTAAATATATCTTTATTGATTTCAGAGAGAGGAAAGGAAGGGGGAGAGAGAGATAGAAACATCAATGATGAGAGAGTCATTGATCGAGCCCACAACCTGGGCATGTGCCCTGACTGGGAATCGAACCCCGATCTCCTAGATCCTAGGTCAATGCTCAACCACTGAGCCACACCCGGCCGGGCATACGTTTCTTTTTATATTCCTGGGAGACAAAACAAATGTTCTTACAACAGTATAAAATGAGACATATTTTTCCTTAGGTTGTAAAATGAAATAATGAGAAAACCATGAGTATTTGGTATAAGAGACAATTGTGATAGTTTTTATTATAATGTTTCTACCCGACAGTATTCTTTAAAATCCTTTTGAAAATGTTTACCTAAAAAGTCTTATTAATCTGTCTTCTTGTTTAATCAATAGATAAGGTCCACTATGATACTGGAATAAACAGTTCCACACAGCAACAAAATAAATTAGTCAAACAAACAAACAAAAAGTGTGTCCTAATCGTATAATTTATTAGTTAGCATAGGCTAGCTGCTATAACAAACACCCCCTAAATTTTTGTGGCTCAGTCCAGTAGAAGTTATTTCTTACTTGTGCCCAAGTCCAGTGTGGGTTGGCAAGGTCTTTGCTCCATGCAGTCGTGAAGGGGGCCAGCTATTTTTCCTCAAGTGGTCTCACCATCATTGAGTGCCTTGTCCTCTGAATTCAGGTACAAGAACAGGAAAATGGACCGAGTATGGAGAAAACATCGTGCTCTTATCCACTTGGAATCAGAGATGACATAAATCCTTTCTGTTCTTATTGGCTTGAGTAGAACTTGGTCAAGTGGCCTTATCTACCTCACAAAGTAAAAAATGTAGTTTATAGGTATGCCCAGAAATAAGAGGAACACAAAGATATTGGTGAGCTCTTCAATTTCTGCCACTGCCTACCCTTCTGGTCCTCAACTATCCATTCACTCCTTTTGTCTCATAAACAGAACACATTCCCTCTGGGAACCACCCCATAGCCCCATCCAGCTCTGGTCACATGAAATTTTCTCTATTGTGTTTTTCTATGGCTCCTACTGGTTTAGCGATCTAGGAAATAAACAGATGAGCCATTTTTTCCTGTTACCCAGCATCCAGTGATGAGATCCTGGAAAACTAAATAGAAACTACCATGTGCAAGAGAAAATGATGGAAGACAAATGGCAGTCTCTAGGCCTTAGTCTTCTGAAATCCAGCTAGGCGGGCATCGTGAAGCCATGCTCTTCCCCGACCCCAACATCCAGAAGTGATGGGCATTCTGTTAAGGTCTTGATTCTGCTCAGTAGAAGGAACTTGTTTTTCCTTTTCTAGTCATCATTCTGCCAGTGGTAAGATTATTCCTTTTACATGATCAAATCTAAAGTGTGCACTGTGGACTGTGCTCTCCTAAATTAGGTCACTTTTGCAGCTCGCTTTCTAACCGTGTGTGTTTTTAAGGCTCTTGGAAACGTGGTTTTTGTTCTGTTTCGTCTGAGATCTAGACTGTGGGATATGATTACTTTGGGGATATGATTCCTCAAAAACTTTGTAAACTTCTACTTGCTTCCAGTCAGTTCTGCTAATTACGATGCCCAAATTTCTTTCCCAGAAAACATTTTTATGTTTGTCTTATTTAATTGTTTCCTTTTCCAATTCCTTTCTTTTTCAACTGTGGATTTTTTGGTACTATTTGGAAAAGTAGACTTAGATGGGAAGGTAGTAAATCTTAATTTAATCTTGACCAAAAACCTGAGTCTTAATTCTCTCAAAACCATTCTCAATTTTATTTTTTTCTCTTTAGTATCTAGAACTAACCAACTTTCTCAACCCTACAGGCCTCTAAAATTCTAGTTTTTCTCTGTCCCCTCGCAAGCCTGCAGAAGAGCCTATTTTAATTTCTTTATTTAAATTTAGCTTTATTGAGCTAGAATTCATATACTATCAAATTTACCCTTTTATATATTTAAAATGATATAGAAATAATCTTTGGTATGACATCAAATTCACATAACACTGACACTGAAATCCTGAGCCTTAGGATCAAAGAAGAATTAGAAATAAACCGAAATGATGATATATTGTTAACAATCAGGTTTAAAGAAAGAAAGAAAGCAGTGTTCCCGTCACAAACAAGTGCTTTATTCAGGAAGTGGAAGGACAGTTACAGTCCACAGGTGATAGAAACCCTCTGCCCCCATCACAGACACAGCAGCCGCCGGGAGAAGCCTCCGCTGCCACCCGGGTGGACGCCAGCGGCTGCTCTGCCTTCCTCAGGCTCCGTCCCCTGGAGGGCAGCAGGGAGGCAGGCTCAGGAAGGGAATCACACGCTCAGGAGTCATCCCGGGCACACTGCAGGCTGAAGGGTGGAGAAGCTGCTTCTGCATCCGCGACGGGCTTTGAAGAGATGATGAAGGAAGGGCTGGGGAAGCAGGCGAGCCACATTTCCTGGCCCTGATGAACGCTGAAGCTGTTACTTGCTCTTGGGTGGGCACTTCTGCTGGCATGGTGGAGGAGTTTGCACAGGAGGGCATTTCTGCTGGCACAGCTGAGGTGGGCAAGGCTCAGGGCACTTTGGTGGTGGGCAAGGCTCAGGGCACTTTGGGGGTGGGCAAGGCTCAGGGCACTTTGGGGGTGGGCAAGGCTCAGGGCACTTAGGTGGTGGGCATGGCTCTGGGCACTTAGGTGGGCAAGGCTCTGGGCACTTAGGTGGGCACACAGGAGGTGGCTGGCAGGGTTGCTTGCACTGCTGCTGTTGATAAGACATCTTTCTAGAGTCTTAGAATCTGAAAGAATTACATGACAGGTCACAGGAAGGCATTCTTACAGAGAGAGAACCCAGTGCTTAGAAAATACCGTGAGATTTCTCTCTCCAATCTCCAAGAATGTGCTTTCATCTCTTAACTTCATTTTAAGACTCTCTGGGTTTTCCTTTCATCTTTATAAAATTGTTTCATCAGCCCTTAGAAATATCTGTCTTCCCACTTTACCATTTTTCTAAAGAAAATATTGCTGAAAGAACAAAGTCCTGTTTTGTACGACAATAACACCTTCATGAGAGTCCATCACAAGTTCTAAAATCATGGGCAACCTCACAAGCAACTTCCCTCATCCTTACCTCCTGTGAGGTCCCAACAGGCTGCCTTAAGTATACAACAAAGGGCTGCTCAGGAACAATGCAAAGAGCCTTTGAATTCACACCAGAACGGAAGGGATACCAAAAAATATAAAATAAAATAAAATACGCTTGTCTTTCCTTTCCTTCATATCAAAGCTTTCCTATCAATGTTTTCTGTACAGCATATCAAGCGACCTACCTAAAAACAAGTGAAAATAGTATATCCATGTGCCCCAATTCTAAGATTTCATCAAATAAGTAGCATCTAACCCATGATCATGATTTAGGACACACCAAACTTGCTGTCCTTAGATAAATTCAACAGTTGAGAGCACCAAAAAAACAGTTGGACTCTAGAAATCAGACTCACCAATTTCCGCACCACAGATCAGAAGTCAAGCGCCAGGATGGTAGCCGCACAGCAGGCAGCCTTTTTATAGGGCCTGCTGCTCCACCCAGGTGGAAGGGGAGCTCCTAAAACTGACCTGGTCCAATAATTTCCCACCCAAAATGCAAATACATCCGTAACTGGCTTGACAGGGACTCGGAAAACATATCCTGCTCCAGGATCTCCTCTCTGGGCTACGTGCTCATGACTCACAGAGGCCCTGGCTTAGCTCTCCATCAGTGACTTAGGGCTGGGGGAGGACTTGGGGAGTCCCTTTCTCAACTGGGGGAGATGACCCTTTTCAATGTTTCACCTCCCCTGAGTCATAAAACGTTCTTCCCTGGTCCACCTCAGCTGGCTGCCGTTTTGTTGTGCATGCTGGATTGAAAAGAGCTTGGCTACCTGGTGACACCTGACTATTTACCCAGAATGTCCTTAAATGCATATGCCTTTGATCCTATGGCCTCCTGGTCTAAGTCTTCTTTTATTCTTCTAAAACGGGCTGAAGTAAGGCTGCAGGTCATCTCAGTAGATGCCCCATAATGATACTGGGGACACTCAGTAAAATGTGACCTCCAGGGCCCCATCTGCACTGCTTTGGTCCTGCGGATAGGGAACACGTACCTCATTCCTATGTTCCTTACAAATCTGTGCCACCTTGGCCACGCGGAATCTACTAGGATCACACTTTAGCTGTCCTCATTCAAATTTCTGGCAGATTCTGGGGTGGGATTCAGTGTCCTCAGCACTTTTCCTCCTTGCTGCCCTCGAGGTTGTATGTTTGAGCTCTTTTATTTTTTTTAAAAAGGGAACTCTTAATCACTGTTTAATGAAATTCAGAGAAGCGAACAAAAGTCACAAGCACTCATTAAAGTCTGTTTATTGGACCACACCTATGTGGTTCCCTCGGCTGTTCCCTTCATTAGAGGGCAAGATGCAGTCCTTCCCTGTTCACGGGTTAGTGGGGAGCCCAGACCCACACACCAGCGGCCAGGGCGCACGGCTCTGGGGCCTGCCAGAGGGGCAGTTGAATCTCCTGGGAAATGTGCCTTCAGCTTTCCCCCTTCCGCCCACGAGTGCATGAAGCACCAGCTAAGGTCTTTTCAGGCCTGTCCTGAGGTCTTCCGTGCCACATGTGAGACATGACCACATGAAGAGGCATTCAAGCTATTTATCAAGAGCCTTTTGAAAATGTCCCATCTGCCTACAAGGGACATTTTTCAGTCACCAATTCCTAGCAGTGTCTCCGAAAGCAGGAATGCTGCTTGTGTAGCAAGATGTGGCCTCTGACGAGAGCAAAAGAATTCAAACGTTGGCTGTATGTTTATGTTAATTCTGCATTAAGTACATAATTTGAATATGTCACCTGCCATTTCCTGGACATGATTTTCTATGGCTGGTTAAATCAGAAATTCAAGAAGTTGGTATAAACTGATTTTAAATATAAAAATATTAAGAATGTTATATGAGACAGGTGATACGTAATTATGACAAACATACTGGGCCTATGGGAGTAACTAGGGTTTGGGAAACAATATTCTAATATGTTCTCCAACCCTGGATATGGGTTTGATTTCTGCCTTTTTAGAGTAAGCTCTCCAAAGTTCCACAGTTTCTCTACTGGGTCTTGGACCTGGACAATCCTCTTTTCTTTACTGTCCCATCGGGTACTGAAACATTTATTTTTGAGCCACGGCTGGTGAAAAGGGTCCATCTGGGGTAGGAATCGAGTTGCCACACTGGCCGTATGTCACTGTGCAATGTGGGAACACACTTGTTACGGGGTCAGCATCTCCCCTGCCCACATGACCCAACATGCCCTGGTCTTCCGGTAGACCAAACAATTCTTGCAGTTTCCTTATCAGAAAACAAAGCCCTTTTATTCCACAAATAAATACCAGTTTTTAAACTGCAAGAAACAAATATAAATAAGGATACCATTTAACACTCGCACGATCACATTGTAATGACTGAGAGTGCGTCTGAGGAGGGCCGTGAGGTCAGAACATGAAAAGCCTGACATCTAGGTGAAAATATGAGCTTAAGCTGATCATATACATATTTGCTTTCTCTCACCATCTTTACAAGCAGGTTTTAGGTCTTTAAAGGCAGTGATTTTTTAAGATATTTTTCTGTTTATTGTCTGTACTCCTTGAGCCCTCCAGACCCCTCAGCTTGCTGCATAATCTCCCCTTATCTGTCCGGTTGGAGCATGTCTGTCATCGAGGACCCGATGGCAATGCACTTTGGGGTTAGTCCTTTCATATATTTTTAAAAATCTACCTGCAGTCAGCAGGGCAGGCTCACTGTGTGTATTAAACGTTTAAAGCGATGTTGCCAGAGCTTCCTGGTCTTGGCCAATAACCAGGAAGCTTTGCAAGAGCTTGGTTTCATCATCGCCGAGGAGAAAGGAGAGGATGATGGAGAGGGGAGGAGGCACGGACCACCGAGGGTCACTGAGTCAACCCGGCATCACACCCCCTCAGTCATCAGGTTGGGTTCCCAGAGCTGTCATCGTTCCTGCCTGTCAGGAAGGGCTCTGGTTACCCTTAACCATGACCACGCAGGGCCCGAGTCACCACTTCAGCACCTTCCGGCCAGGGGTGTACAAACAGTGTCATCACCAAATGGTTCATCAGGACCGGGTCGGAGGGCAAAGAGCAAAGAATTTACCCAACAGGCCACTTCCTACTCACCATAGCCTCACATCACATCTAAAACATAAATATTTAGAAAATCTCAGATTTCTGCCATCGAAAATTTGAGAATTACCTGCTTAAATGGGCTTTCAGCGTCAGATGCTCCAGATTGGGGCATACCTTTGAGGGTGTCCCTCTGAGGACACTGCCCTCGAAGGGGTGCTGAGCCTGAGCGTGAAGGCACTGACGGCACGGCAGCCCGGCGCTCCTGTGAGCCAGGTGAGAGGCACTTTCCAGGCCGCTGCGGTGACTCGAGCGCTCAGTTTCTCATGACCAGCTACAAGAAGAGCATTTATAAATATGTATTATTATGTATGAAAAAAATATGGTGTAATTTTTAATTTCGTTTACTATTCCTGTAATTAGCTGTTCAGAACAAAAAATAATCTCTAGTTTAAAGGCCACATTTCTCCTTGTGGCAGTTTGCCCAGAAGGTCAGGCTAAGTTTTTATAAGGAAATAAATAACCACCAGCACTAACCTTCCAAAAACAAGTAGACTTCATAAATTCTAGTTTTATGCAGGTGTGTCTCGTTCCATTGCACTTTACTGTATTGAACTTTGCACTTTTGCGTTTTTTACAAATTGTAGGTTTGTGGCAACCGTATTAAGCAAATCTTTGGACGCCAAAAATATTATGATTTGCTGGAGGCTCGGATAGTGGTTAGCATTTTTTAGCAATAGATTACTTTTAATTAAGATATAGACATTGTTTTTCTAGCTATAATACTACTGCACACTTAACAGACTACAGTATAGTGTAAACAGAATGATTACATGCACTGGAAAACCAAAAAATTCTCCTGGCCCGCTTTATTGTGGAGGTCTGGAACCAAGCCTGCAGTATACCTGAGGTGCGCCTACATTCCCTGAATGTGGTATCGGAACTTAAGGGAGTGACTTCCAGGGCCAATAAAATTATGAACTTACCATCTAGGGTCTGTATTAGTGAGACTGAGAACATCGGGTAAGAAAGGGAATGAATCAGACATTTCTTCTCCTAAGGGTCTTTCCAAGAAAGGAAAAGTACATGGGCTGTGGGCCCCTCCACAGAAAGTTATAAAAGAAAACAAAGAAACCTGGGTAAAATTGTGAAAAACTCTAGGGAGAAAAAGCTCTTTGGGCTTTAGCATGGGAACTAGGTGACTGTTGCCTGGGCAGAGAGGACTGCCAGAATTATAAGAGGACACTTTAGAGAAAAGTTAAATGAAATATAAAAATTCCTCAAAAGATCTAACTTGTCAAAACTGACTCAAGATCATACGGAGCTAAATTTGACCACACGATCTAGCAATAGCACTCCTAGACATCCACCCTACTGGCTTCAAAACATGTCCACACAAAAACCTGCATGCAAATCTTTATAGCAGCTTTATTCACAATTTCCAAGAACTGGAAGCAACCCAGATGCCCTTCAATAGATGGTTGGAGAGATTGCAGATTTAATCAGGGAAGCGCAGCGAGGACCAGCCCATCCCTCTTCCAGTGCCCAGTTGAAGTGTACATCCCCCACCTTTCATTTCTGCTCCACACTACAAGGGTCACCTTGTGCTAAAGGAACAA